CCAAACTCCCGTATTTTATCATAATAGCACTAAATAGGCTAAAATGTCCTTGTCCCTGGTTCTGTAATCCCAGCACTGGGGAGGCTGAGGCAGGAGGATCACTGAGAGTTCAAGACCAGCTTGGGCTACATAGTGACTTTCAGGTCAGTCTCAACTACATAGTGAGACCCTGTCTCAAAAAACCAAAAAGTAAAATAAAATTAAATAAATAAAATAAAAGTTATGGCCTCAAAGAGGAGAACTGGGTTGCTGAGAAGAGGACAGTAGAAAAGCTGGCCTGAGGGCAACACAAGAACCAGCACGACTCTACCCTTTGCAGTCTCAAAATTGCAAAGGTGGGCCAGGGATTTGGCTCAGTGGTTCCACTACCTGCCCAGAAAGCACAAGGTCCTGAGTTAAATCCCCAGTACAAAAAAAAAAAAAAAAAAAAAAAAACTTGCAAAGGTGAAAGATTTTGCTTTGAGAAGGATGCCCCAGCGCACAGTGTTCCAGAATGAGGTTGGCCTAGGGAAGATGTTCCTCGGGTGTGTTCAGAGTGCTCAGCAATCCAGGCCCTCGACCCCTGACAGCTAAGAGAGAAGGAAGCCTGGCTACTGCTCCAGCTGGCTGCAGACCTTGGCATTGTCCTTGTGATGCTGGTTTTAGGTTCATGCAGAGTGTAAGAGATGTGGGGTCAGGAAGGGCGCCCCTCAGAGGGCAGCGTGTGGAGCTGAAGGTGCAGTGGAGACCCCAGAAGGGTGGGGAAGCCGGGCAGGTGATCTGAGGAAAACTGCAAGGAAGGAGCAGAGCCAGCACCAGAGAAGCCGTGGGAGCTACAGCCTCTGGCAGTGCCACAGGGACAGAGCTACCCCAGCCCTTTGAAGTTCACAGCTTGCTGCAGATGCCCCGATGTTGGACACGGAACCATGGGACTTAATGTAGCCCTGCTGGATTTTGGACTTGCTTTGGCCCCTTCCTATCTCATTAGTTGTACCTTTTGAAGTATAATGTTTACCTGTGCCATTGCATTTTGAAAATGTTTAGCTTTGTTTTCATTTGTACAGGGTCTCACAGCTAAGAGTTTGTTTTAAATCTCAGAGGCAACTTTGGGCTTGGACTTTTCAGCAAGGACCAAAACTGTTGGGTCTTTGGTGACTCTCAGAGACGGACTAAATGCCTATTATCTATTTTTTTTTTTTTTTATTTATTTATTCTTGAGAAGGTCTTGCTTACTAAATGCCTATTATCTATTTATTTATTTATTTATTTATTTATTCTTGAGACAAGGTCTTGCTATGTAGTTATTTATTTATTTATTTATTCTTGAGACAAGGTCTTGCTATGTAGTTCAGGCTGCCCTTGAAGTCACTATGTACCCCAGCCTGGCCTCAAACTCAGTGATTCTCCTGCCTCAGCCTCCTGAGTAGTAGGATTACAGGCATGCACCACTACACCCAAATTTCTATAATGGGATGAATGTGAGTCTTTTGGGGGCCAGAGGTGGAATGTTGTGATTTTTCTCTAGATGTCTCCCCAAAGCTCATATGTGAGGCTTTTGGGAGGTGGCTGAATCTAGGGTGTGTGACATTGGGATTAAGGGTGTGTAGTACTAAATTAGTCCACTGATTGGTCTGGCATAGTTCTGGCTGTGGATAATGGGAAGACCCACCCTGGGTGTGGGTGGTACAACCCAAAAGGCTGGTAAAGGGATAAAAGGGAAAAGTAGGCTTGCTTTGCTGCTGTTTCTTCCTGCCACCTGCCCACCACACCATGGACTGTTTCTCTCCTTCCACGCCCCTCTGCCATGCCACCCCGCCTTGCAGTCAGCTGACTATGCAGTGAAACCTCTACAAACTGGGAGTCAGAATAAACCTTTCCACCTTTAACTTGTGGGTGTTGGGTATTTTTCCTTGGTAATGAGAAAGTAACTAAGACAGTCTTTAGTGCTACTTTTCTATTTTTAAACTTCTTACTTTTTTTTGAATATTTCCTCAATGGCTTCCTTTTAACTATATCTTCAATGTTGTTATTACATTTAAAAATTTTTAATTTCTAGGACCTTATATTCTTCATTTCCTTTTTTTTTTTTTTTTT